GTAAAATTGAAAATAGAAATGTCGAGGAACTGAAAAAACTAGATATCGAAAATTCTGCAATGTTACCAATTGAAAAATTGCAAAATCTAGAAATCGAAAAATCAAAAAATCTAAATATTTGAAAATGTAAAATTTATAAATCCAAAAATTGAAAAATCGACTACGTAAAAAATTGGGGAATCGAATATTGTAAAGTCGAGACTGAAGAATCGAAAATTTTTAAAAATCCCATAACTGAAATTGAAAAACTGAAAAATCGAAGTTGAAAAACCGAAAATTTTGAAAAATCAAAAAACTGATAAATTGTAAAATCGAAAAATTGAAAAACCGAGAATTCGAAACATCAAAAAATTAAAAGATCAAAAATTTTAAAATGCGAAAAACAGAACTGTCGAAAATCTGACAAATCGAGTAATCAAAAAGTCTAGAATGTTAAAAAGTGAAAAATTAAAATATCGAAAAATCGAAAAATAGAAAAATCGAAAAATCTAAAATATATAAACTGAGAAATTGAAAAATCGAAAAATCTAAAACCAAGAAGTAAAAGAATCGGAAAATCGAAACATTAAAACTCAAAAAAACTTAAAAATTCGAAAAATTGAAAAATTGGAATGTCGAACAACTAAACAATCGTGAAATAGAAAAACCTGAAATTTCAAAAGTTGAAAAGTTAAAATATCAAAAAATTGAAGAAACGAAAAATTTGAAAAACAAGAAATCAAAAAATCTAAAATTTGCAAATTCAAAAACTTGAAAATGGAAATGTTGAAAATCCTGAAAAATCGAGAAATCGAAAAATCTAAAATGTTAAAAATCGAAAAATTGAAATATCGAAGAACCGAAGAATTGAAAAATCGAGAAATCGAAGCATCAAAAAATTGAAAAATTGGAAAATCTAAAATTTATAAATCGAAAAATTGAAAAATCGGGGAATCGAAAATTCGGAAAGTCGAATAAACTGAAGAATCGCAAAATTGACAAAATCCCAAATCTGAAACTTCGAGAAATTGAAAAACTGAGAAATCGGAAAATCGAAAAATCGGAATCGATAAACCGACAATTTTAGAAATCAAAATTCCGGCCAATTGGAAAATCGAAAAATTGGAAAACTTAAAATTCGAATTATCGAAAAATCAGAAAATGGAAAAATTGAAAAACTGCAATTTCGAAAAGTCGAGAAGTCGGAAAATTGAAAAATTGAGAAATCGAAATAGCCCACAATCGAAAAATCGAAGAGTTAAAAAAGAGTAAGTTCAAAAATTGAGAAATTTTAAATAAAAAAAATCGGGAGGTGAAAAATCAAAAAATCGAAACTTCGAAATCTCGATAAAACAGTTGAAAAACCGAAAAATTGAAAAATCCAAAAATCAAAGATTTTAAATCGAAAAATCGAGGAAAAAACTTAAAAATTTTGATTCAAAAATTCGAAAAATTGAAAAACTGGAGTGTCGAACAACTGAAAAATCGGGAAAGATAAAAAATTTAAATTTCAAACATTGAAAAATTAAAACATCGAAACACTGGAGAACCGAAAAATTGAAAAATCGAGAAATCGAAACAGCAAAAAACCAAAAAATCTAATACTTACAAATTCGAAAAATTGAAAAATTGAGTACGTAAAAAATCGAGGAATCAGAAAATCGTAAACTCGAATAAAAACTGAAGAATCGAAAAATTGAAAAAATCCCAAACCTGAAACATCAAGAAATCAAAAAGTCGAAAAATCGAAGTTGAAAAACCGAAAGTTTTAAAAAAATCTATAAACTGAAAAACTATAAAATCGAAAAATTGAAAAACCGAAAATTCTAAAATTCAGAAAATGGAAAAATTGATAAACTGAAACATTGAGAAATCGAACCATCAAAAATTCGAAAATTTGGAAAATCTAAAATTTATAAGTCGAAAAATTGAAAAATTGAGAACGTAAATAATAATCGAGGAACCGAAAAATCGTAAACTCGAATAAAAACTGAAGAATCGAAAAATTGAAAAAATGCCAAACCTGAAACATCGAGAAATCGAAGTCGAAAAACCGAAAGTTTTAAAAAATCGAAAAATTGAAAAACCGGAAATTCGAAAATTCAGAAAATGGAAAAATTGAAAAACTGAAACATTGAGAAAAAAGTCGAAAGATCGAGAAGTCGAAAAATCAAAAAATTGAGAAATCGAAATACCCCAAAATCGAAAAATCGAAGAGTTAAAGATTCAAAAAATTTTAAATAAAAAATATATAGGTATATAAATCGAAAAATTGAAAAATCCAAAAAATCAAAAATTTTAAAAATTGAAGAAATAAAATGTCGAACAACTGAAAAATCGGAAAATAGAAAAACTTGAAATTTTAAAAATCGAAAAATTAAAAAATCGAAAAATTGAAGCATCAAAAAAAGAAAAATCTCAACCTTAAAAATTCGTAAAATTGAAAATAGAAATGTCGAACAACTGAAAAATCGAGAAATCGAAAAATTTGCAAAGTTAAAAATTGAAAAATTAAAGCACCGAAAAATTACAAAATCTAGAAATAGAAAAATCAAAAAATCGAAAAATTGAAAAATGTAAAATTTATAAATCGAAAAATTGAAAAATCGAGTACGTAAAAAATCGAGAAAAATAAAATCGTAAAGTCGAATAAAAACTGAAGAATCGAAAATTTGAAAAAAATCCCCCCATAACTGAAACGTCGAGGAATTGAAAAACTGAAAAATCGAAGTCGAAAAACCAAAAATTTTAAAGCATCAAAGAACTGGTAATTTAGAAAATCGAAAAATTGAAAAACTGAAAAACAAAGATCAAAAAATCGAAAAATCGAGAAGCCGAAAATTTAAGAAATCGAAACAGCCCAAAATCGGAAAATCGAAAGTTAAAAATTCAAGAACTGAAAAATTTTATATTAAAAAAATATGTATGTTAAAATTCGAAAAATCAAAAAATTATAAAATCGAGAGATGAAAAATCAAAAAGTCGAAACATCGAAATCTCGATAAACCATTTGAAAAATCGAAAAATTCAATAAATAAAAAATTTTCAAAATCGAAAAATTGAAAAACCGAAAAATCTAGAACCGAGAAGTCGAAGAATCGAAAAATCGAGACAAAAAAAAACCTAAAAATTTTAAATTCAAAAATTCTAAAAATTCAAAAATTCTAAAAATTGAAAAATTAAAACATTGAAAAACCGAAGAACCGAAAAATTGAAAAATCGAAGCATCAAAAAATCGAATAATCTGAAACTTTAAAATTCGTAAAATTGAAAACAGAAATGTCCAAAAACTGATAAATCGAGAAATCAAAAAATCGAAAATGTTAAAAATTGAAAAATTAAAAGCTCGAAATTTGGAGATCCGAAAAATAAGAGAAATCGAAACATTAGAAAATCGAAAAATTGGAAAATTTAAAATTCATAAACCGAAAAATTTAAAAATCGAGTAGGTAAAAAAATGGGGAATCGGAAAATCCAAAAAAATCAAAAATTCTAAAAATCGAAAAATTGAAAATCGGAAAAATCTAAAACCGAGAAGTTGAAGAATCGAAAAATCGAGAAAAAATACAAATTTAAAATTTAAGAATTCGAAAAATTGAAAAATTGAAATGTCAGTCAAGTGAAACATTAGAACATCGAAAAACTGAAAAATTGAGAAATCGATACATCAAAAAAAAACTGGAAAATTTAAAATTTATAAGTCTCAAAATTGAACAATCAAGGCCCGAAATATAGAGAAACCTAAAAGAGTTTAATAAAATCCCCATAATCGAAAAATTGAAAAAGTCGAAAAGTCGAAACACCGAAAATTTTAAAAAATCGAAAAACTGAAAATTGGAAATTTGAAAAATGGAAATGCGGAAAAGTCGAGAAGTCGAGACTTGGGAAAAACAAAAATCGAAAAGTCAAAATGAATCGAGAACTTGAGAATTCGAAAAATTGAAAATTTAGAAACATCAAAATCTGAAACATTGGAAAATCTCAAAATTTAAAAATCGGAAAAAGATCATGCCCACGAAGTAAAAAAGAAAAATATTTCAAGATTATTTGTGATTAGATAATAATAATAATTTAATACTGTACAACCGTTCCAACCCACTATTATTAATTACGTATGGAGGATCTCCAAAACTGATAAAACTTAAAAGGAATAACTAATATTTCATTTCGCAGACGAAACCGTTAAACACTTATCGTTAAGATTGTGCAAAACGGCGATGTAATTTTCCACTTTCTAGTTAAATTTTTTTGGTTTTTATCGCGTTGAAATACTAGTTTTAATTTTTACAACTCGCTTAAGATGTTTATATTTTTATTAATATTAAAATCCGTGGCCATGAAATCAATTTTATGATAATTTCTCTACCACCAGGTGAACCGCCGTAAAAAGATTAAAAAATCTTCACTTTACTTGTCGGGTTTAATTTTATGCTAATACCTATAATATTATATTATATATGTTAGATGCAGTGCCAAATTAATATTTCCATAAATAATTGCCTGGGGCATAGACATTCCAGAGACTGTGCTTAAAAAATTCTTCGAGAAAAGACTATTTCCAAAATATTTCCAATATGAGATAGCTTACGAATTAGTAATGATAATTCAGTTGTTCTCCAAGGTGTAAATAGTTTAAGGTTATTTTTATATGTAAATTGAACCTAAATGACTCTGTACCAGTAGCAGATAAGATCTCATCCCAGGGACGTACTTCGAAAATTTCATTGTATACCGTCCAGACATTTAAAACCCGTGTTTGCGTCCAACATGTCACTCCTTTTACTATTTATTCCCCGTTAACTTTTTGCCTCCTCCCCGTATGGCCCATGACCGCTAGCCGCACTCAAAAATTGCGTATCTGTCCATCAGCAATCGCACCATAATTATCCCAATTAAAATAATTGCCGCTTTAATCAAAATGACCCACATTTCGCTTTAGGACAGACCAGCTCTTGTCTCGACAATACCATTTGAATCGAGGGCCTCTCCCGCTTCCTGCTCCCATTTACCAAAACAGCATGTCCAAACACACAGTATATTTCCAGAAACGGAGGCCCGCCCATTAATAATGCATGAACACATCTAAATATATCACAGCGGGGCCGAAATGATACTTGTCCATTTTGGGTCCTGGAATTGGGCATTGTTGCGCCCGCACGCTGAGACCGAGGAATTATCGTCGACCCGAAAGGTGAGACGTTGCTAGGCGAAGTCGTCGACGGTGGCCACGCTGGGCATGGCGGTCGGGGGCGGCGTGGCAATGGACGACTTGCACACGCCGCGGCGGCGGATCATCTCGACGAAGAGGTCGGTGAGGCATTCGTAGCTGGAATTGGCGGAGTGTGAGGTTAGGTCGAAATTTGGGGGAGGATTTACGCCTCTTCGACGAAAAATTCTTGGGAGATCTTGTTCTCGGTGCAGAGAGGGGGGTGTTTGTCGTAGTTGCAGAGGCCCAAGGTTTTCATACCTGTGAAAAATTATTATTATTATTACTTTCTGAGCCTAAGCTAAAGAAACATAGTAATCTGAAATTGCCACTGAAAAGTGGTCCCCGTTTCCGTCTGTCTGTCTGTCGTCTGTTCCAATTTTTATTGGACACATAATCTCAGAAACTACTGGACCGTTGTTGTCAAATTTTTGGAAAAAACAAACAAAATTGCGTAACAACAATGCTCTGAAATGTTGCAAATGTTTTAAACTTTAAACTGAAAAATTAAACCAAAATCGAGTTCCTACTCCATTTCCCCGAAAAATTGGGAATACAGTACTATTATTATTACTATTACACTGCATCTATCTAAATTGATGCAGTCCTTGCAAACATATAAACATAAAATATAAAAAAAACTCACTTGAAACCACCGCGTAGCACGTTTTTTTACATTTACTTTAACATTGAATGCATAGCTTTATTTTAATTTATAAATCGCAAAATAACATCTTATAATTTTTCGAAAACTCTGGATTTGTTATTACTTTCGACCAGTTTTTTGATACCATAAATTTTCGTTTTTCGTTTTTCTTCGATTTCACAAACTTTTATGTTTTTTTTTTATAATTTTTTTATTATTTTTTAATTTTCCCATTTTTCATATCTTCGTTTTTATAATTTTTCGTTTTTTCAACTTAATTTTTTCAGTTTTTCAATTTCTCTACATTCAAAATTTTTTTACGCTTCCCAGAGTAGATAGAGTCACTGGTGACTCTAAAAATAGTAATAGAAATTGAGGTTATTTCAACAGAACTTTCCTCGCCTCTGAAGATCAGCTCAACAAATCATGCTTCTTTGAAAAATTATTTAAAAAAAATTGATTTTTGTTTTCTGATAGCCTCTATAAAATAGATACCGTCACTCCTGCATTTTTTTTTGACTTGAATTTTTCAATTGTTCAATTTTTCATTTTTTGTTTCTTCAATTTTCGATTTTCAATTTTTCGAGTTTTCAGGTTTAAAATTTTCAATTTTTCTATTTTCCGAGTTTTGAAATTTTCAGTTTTTAATTTTTCAGTTATGCGATTTGCAGCCTTTCGTTTCGATTTTTTCTTTTCTTTATTTTTTTCAGTTATTTGATTTTTCACTGTTTCGATTTTATAATTTTTATTTTTTTCAATTTTTCGTTTCCTCAGTTTTTTCCAATTTTTCAATTTTAAATTTCTCGCGTTTTCAAGTTTTAATTTTTTAATTTCTCGATACATTCATATTCAAATTTTCTATTTGAAATTTTTCGTTTCGTTTTTTTTACAATTTCTCAATGTTCCGATTTTATAATTTTTTCTTTTTTTAATTTTTCGTTTCTTCAATTTTTTAATTTGTAATTTTTCAATCTTTATTTTTTTGTTTCTTCAAGTTTTCGTTTTTCGATTTTTCAGTTTCCCAATTTTTAATTTTTAAATTTTTCAATTTTGCCTTCCCTCAAGTTTTTAGTCGTTGATTTTAATTTTCATTTTTTAATTTTCATTTTCTCGTTTTTATATCAATACATATTTCGTTTTTTATTTCCTTTATTTTTTCAATATCCGTTTCGATTTTATAATTGCTTTATTCAATTTTTCAAATTTTCAATCTTTGATCTTTCAGTTCCCCGATTTTTCGATTTCTTTCATTTTTAATATTTCGATTTTACGAAATATATTTCGTTTTTTTTTCGATTTTTAAGTTCCCAATTTTAATATTTCGTTTCTTCAATTTTTCAAGTTCTTAATTTCCAATTTTTAGTGAAGTATAATTAAATATAAGTTTTCACTTTATACTTTTTCGTTTTTTCATTTTTGATTTTTCAGTTTCAGAAAAGTTGAAAAGTAGAATAAATGAAAAAAAATTAAAATCCAATAATCGAAAAATGTAAAAATTCTAAAATCGTAAAAATGAAAAAGTGATCTTTTTTTTAAATTATGTTTATTAGATGTTATATCTCTAAAATGAATATTAGAAAAATTGCTAATCATAAATTAAAGCAACGAAAAACTAAAATATCTTAAAGTTGAAAAATCGAAAAACTACCGGAAAATTGCATATCGAACAAAAAAAAATCCAAAAATTGGTCTAAAGAGTTTAGACAGTACTTCCCTCGCTGTCGGAAACTTGACGACTGCATGCCTATTGTGTTTTTTTTCTCATTACATTTTTGTAGTGGGAATTTAAAAAAAAATTGTGATGACGTCATCAACATTTTTGCAAGGACACGTATATCAGTTGGGACAGATGTAGTGTAATACTAAGAATAAAATTACTGTATTCCCAAATTTTCGGGAAAATGAATTGGGTCGTTTTGAATATTGATTTCTTATAATCAATAAAATAACGAAACAATTTACTCACGTATACGGCGCCGGTGTGTAATATCTAGAGACCGGATTTTTGTCGGGTTAGGCAAGGCCAAACTCGGTACGGTTCGTACGGGATGCGAATTCATTGCGGTTGCGGACTCCACTTCGTTTATTTGAGATTAGAATAACGCTGTTTCGTTGCACTCTGCTGTTAATTCCCGTTCTCATTTACTTAGCCGTTTGATTAATAAATCGTTAATTATATTTATGGAATTAGTACTGATTAAATTCAGTGATTATCTATCACCCGCTACTGAGTCCCGGCGATCCAGCGCGTCACCACCTATAATCGTGACGTGGCCCGACAAAAATCCGCTGTCTAGTAATATGAAAGGCAACTGAAAATCGTTTATGTATAAACATTCTTAATTTAAGATGACAAGCGTAACAGCATACGTGAGAGTCAAACAGAGAAACTGTAAAACAAAACGACCATCGGTTTTATTGCTTCGACTTCCGCTTATTATATAAAACATTGGGTTTTATTTTAATTCTTGACGGTGAAATTCACAATTGGTTGATTATAAACATGTCTATTTCACATTCGCGGAACCAAGTGAGCGCATAAAACAAATGCAGGTCTGTAATGTTAAATTCGAAGTAAATAAGCGTGCTACCCTTATGTTTCAACCGAGTTTTTCCTTTAACAAATTTTATGTCTACCAAATTGGGTTGGTTGGGGTGTAATACTAATAATAAGTGTTGCCTTTAATTTAATCAATAAAATAAATTGACTTCATTAATTTTTTTGAACCACCTCTTAAGAAAATCTAAAAAATATGAATGGAATGATAAATCACAAGTACAAACTCATCATATTTTTTGCATTTTAGATAGGATTTATTAAGCAAAATTTAAGGGTGACGTCATCAATTTTTTTAGGAGGGATGAACAAATACATTTTGAACAAAAGTTTACCATGCTTATAATAACTTTAAAATATTCCCAAGATTTCAAAGCATTCGGTTTTGTAATTCCTGATTAAATCGATAAAATTAATTCACGCCTTCATTAATTTTTTTGAGTCACCCTGCATATGCAAATCCAAAAATATGAATGGAATGATAAATCACAAGTACAGACTCATCATATTTTGTACATTTTAGATACGATTTATTCGGCAAACTTTTGAGCTGACGTCATCAGTTTTTTGTAGAAGATAACCAAATATATTTTGACTAAAAATTTATTATGCTCTTTATAACTTTAAAACATCTGCACGATTTCAAAGCATTCGGTTTTGTAGTTCCTGATTAAATCAATAAAATAAATTTACGCATTCATTAATTTTTTTGAGTCACCCTGTATATGCAATTCGAAAAAATTCGAATGGAATGATAAATCACAAGAAGAGGCTCACCATATTTTGTACATTTTAGATAGGATTTATTCAGCAAAATTTTGTGGTGACGTCATAAATTTTTTAGGGGGGACGACCAAATACGTTTTGATCAAAAATTTACCATGCTTATGATAATTTTAAAATATCTTCAAGATTTCGAAGCATTCGGTTTTGTAGTTCCTGAGTAAATCAGTAAAATAAATTTACGCTTTCATTTATTTTCTTGAATCACCCTGTATATGCAAATCCAAAAAATATGAATGGAGTGATAGATCACAAGTACAGACTGATCATATTTTGTACATTTTAGATATGATTTATTCAGCAAATTTTTGAGGGGATAAGCAAATATATTTTGACTAAACATTTATTATGCTCTTTATAACCTTAAAACATGTGCAAGATGTCAGAGCATTCCGTTTTGTAGTTCCTGATTAAATCAATAAAATATATTTACGCATTCATTAATTTTTTTGAGTCACTCTGTATATGCAAATCCAAAAAATATGAATGGAGTGATAAATGACAAGTACAGGCTCACCATATTTTGTATATTTTAGATATGATTTATTCCACAAACTTTTGAGCTGACGTCATCAAGTTTTTGGAGGGGATAAGCAAATATTTTTTTACTAAAGATTTATGATGCTCTTTATAGCCTTAAAACATCAGCAACATTTCAAAGCATTCTGGTTAGCAGATTAAAAATTAAATTTCAAAATGTTGTTTTATAATTTTGATTTTTTTTCCAAAAATCTGGACGTTTCGGGTGAAAAGTCGATTCAGAGTTGTAAACTACATGTGTAGGACTATGTTATTTTATACAATTGAAAACCCATTTACTATGTACAATTTTGAAGTGACGTCATCGCATTAGTGGTGGGGATGATTAGACAAATTTTGGTTAGCGTTTTACCATCTACATGATATTCTTAATATAAGTACAAAATTTCACAACAATCGGTCGAGTACTTTCGGAGATTATCTGTCTAATAAAAATCCGGGACGGCAGACGGACAGACGGACAGACGGACGGACAGACGGACGGACAGACGGACAGACGGACAGACGGACAGACAGACGGAAATGGGAGACCTATTTATTCGTCTTCTAGGGGTCATGAAAGATCGAGAAAACGTAAAAGTAGAGTCGGCCGACGGACTCGATTACAATACTTCCTTTGCTTACGCTCGGGAAGTAAAAATTGAAAATGTAAAAAATGAAACAAACATTCCAAGAATGGAAAATCCAAAAACAAAAAATTTAAAAATGAAAACTAGAAGAGCTGCATATCATAAAAATGAAAAAAAAAATTAAAATCCGAACAGTTACAAATTGAAAAATTAAATAAATGAAAAATTAAAACTTGAAAACTCGAAAAATTTTTTCTCAAAAAATTAAAAATTGAAAACTTGTGAAACTGTAAATCGAAAAACTGCAAAATCTAAAAAGTGAAACATCAAAAGAATGGATAATCGAAAAACTAAAACATTTAAAAATTAAAACTCAGAGTTTTATATCGTAACATTGAAGAAAAATGTAAAAAATTGAAAAATTGAAAATCGAAAAATTAAAGAAAAAGTAAAAAAATTATAGAATCGGACTATTGAAAAATAGAAAAATTGTACACATAAAAAATTAAAAACCGAAACGAATAATTCAAAATCCAAAAATTGAAATGAAAAATTAAAGAATTGAAAAATTGTAAAATCTAAAAACTGAAAAAACAAAAAAGAGACAAATTCAACAAACGCAAATCGAAAACCAAAGAAACGATAAATTGAAAAATTAAAATTGAAAAATCGAATAACTGAAAAAAATTAAGAAAATAAACAACCGAAATGAAAAATTTCAAATCGAATCGATGAAAAATTAAAAATTAAAAATTCGAGACTGCAAATCTGAAAATTGGAACAACCACAAGTTGGAAAATCGAAAAAATGGAAAATTTAAAAATAAAAACTCAAAGAGTTGCATATCCTAAAATTGAAAAAAAAAAATCAAAAATTGCAAATCGAAAAACTGAAGAACCGAAAAACTGAAAAATTTGAAATAGAAAAAACAAAAAATTATAGAATCGATCCATTGAAAAATCGGAAAATTGTAAAATAAAGAAAATAAACCGAAACGAAAAATTGAAGAAATTAAAAATTAAAGAATCGAAAAACTGCAAAATATAAAGTTTGTAAAAACAAGACAAAAGACAAATTCAAAAATCGCAAAACGTAAAATTGAGGAAACGATAAACTGAAATAATTAAAATTGAAAAATCGATTAACTGAAAAAGTAAAGACAATAAAAAATCGAATTGAGAAATGGCAAATCGAATAAATGAAAATTACAAATTGAAAATTCGAGAAACTGCAAATTTAAAAACTGAAACCTTCAAAAGTTGGAAAATTGGAAACTGAATAATTGAAAAGTTACAAATCGAAAAATTGAATAATTGGAAAATTGAAAACTTGACATTGAAAAAACAAAAAAATAATATTAGTTGGAATATTAAATAATTAAAAAACTGTAAAAATAAAAAAAACAAAAAACCAAATGAAAAATTAATGAATCGAAAAATAAAAAAAATTAAAATTGAAAACTCGAGAAATTTTAAACCGAAAAATTCCAAAATCTAAAAATTGGGGAAATGCAAAAAATTGAAAAATCGCAAATCGAGAAACTGAAGAAATGAAAAATTGAAAAAACAGAAAATTATAAAGTCGAAACGAAATATTGAAAACCGTATAAATGAAAAATTAAAAATTTAAAACTCGAAAAATTCAATTCGAAAAATTGGAAAAAGTAACGATTGTAGAAATAAAAAAAAAGAAAAATTGAAAAACTGAAAAAACGAAAAATTAAAAAATTAAAATTAAAAACCTATAGGAAAAATTCCAAGTCAAATAATTGAAAAATTGAAAACTTGAGAAATTACAAATCTAAAAAGTGAAACATTCAAAAGTTGGAAAATCCAAACACTGAAAAATTTAAAAATGACAATTTCAAGAAATCTTAAAATTGAAAAATTACTATTCGAAGAATTGAAGAAAGGAAAAATTGAAAAAACAAAATTTAGAAATTGTAAATATAAAGAACATAAAAAACCGAAACGAAAATTTGCAGATCGAAAATTTAAAATGAAAAATTAAAGAATGGAGAAAGTGAAAAATTAAATCTTGAAAACTCGAGAAATCTTAAATTGAACAAACAAGAAAAATGCAAAATTGAAAAATTGCAAATCAAAAAGTGAAGAAACGATAAATTGAAAAAACTAAAAATTATAAAATCGTAACATTGAAAAATCAAATAACTGAAGAAATAATGAAAAGAAAAAATCAAAACGAACGATTGCAAATCGAATAATTGAAAAATTAAAAACTGAGAACTGGAGAAACTCAAATCGAAAGACTGAAAGATTCAAAAGTTGAAAATAGAAAAACTGAAAATTTTAAACTCGAAAAAACGAAACATTGCAAAAAATTTGTTGGACTCCACTTCAGATGCGAGGGAAGTTCTGTCGAAATAACCTTCGACCAATTTTTATTACTATATATTTTTAGACTCAACAGTGACTCTGATCTATTTGTGCTAACCCATTCTGAGAAGCGTAAACTTTGTCTTTTCAATAAAACTCACCAAACTAAAGAATGATCAACGGCATAGATGAAAGGAAGTTTATGTCGAATATTTAAAATTATAAAATATTACATAATTTTTTTTAACAAATAAGCAAAACGTGCAAAAATCCAAAACATCCGAACTCTTCCTAAGATAAGTGTGAGCAACCTGGGAATGCAACAACAAATTATGTATCCGCCACCGCCGAAATTTTTTGCATAATTTCCGCGAACTTTGCACAAGATATTCCAACACACGCCGGATTTATGACCAGTAGGTACTAATTTGAGTCGGCGACTGCTTAATAAAAGCGCAGAACTCACGCGGAGGCGTCTTTCACAATATCGATGTGCTATCGAGATAATGAGCAATCTGTACAAGAATCGCGTTAATTAGAACTGATGAGGGCTAATTAAATTTCGTGGGATGTGTGGGTACACTTTAACATATTTAATTATGGCGATAAATAAACTTACAGGTTAGATCCGGCCTTTATGATAACCTTTTGGGGACAAAAAATTGCACGACGCCTGGGCTGGGGCGGTACCGATTATTTTAACGCTTTCTTGGTAAAGATTTGTTTTTTTGCCGGATTATCTTACCGGATTCGTACTGTTCCATGTCGATGAAGCCAGTCCTCATGCGATCCATTAGGTAGAAGAGTTGCTCTGGAACAGCGTGATGGTACAGCAGATGGTCGAGGATGACGTTGTGTAGGTGGAAAGCAGCAAATTAATTTTTATTCAAAAATAAGGACTATGAACGGATTCTAAGAATTGTAAGATTAAGCAAATGTGGACGGAGTTGTAAAAGGCAAGATTTGTTCAAATATGGACTTGACGATGAGGACTCTACTTAAATGCAATTATTTACAGGATGTACATCAAATTAATTATTATTATTGTTGTTAATAAATAGCCTCTATGATTTTATTTCAAGAAAAAGCTTCAGGTCGTTAGCAAGTCCAAAAATTGTAGCTGGATATTACATCAAACGAGTCGTTGATAAAAATAATAAACAATCATGGTCCTAAACTGGAACCTTGCGATTTGCGAAATTGCGATTTTTAGAAGGTAGTAATAAATTTAGTAATACCAAAACAATGAGGTTTTTACTTCCCGAGCGTAAGTTAAGGAAGTATTGTAATAAAGTCCAAGGGCGACTGGTTACTTTCATCTTTTTTCGAAGCTTCATGACCCCTAGAGTACGAAAAAATAGCCCTTCCTTTTCCATCGGTCCGTATATCTGTCTGTATGTCTGTCTGTTTGCCTGTTTTCCACATTTTATTAGGCAGATAATCTCCAAAACTACCCGACTGATCGTTGTTAAATTTTGAATATATGTTAGGAATATCATGGAGATGGTAAAACGCTAACCAAAATTTGTCTGATGATCCCCACCAATAATGGAATCTCCAAATTTTGCAGTAGCAGATGTTATTTAAATTTTATAAAATAACGTACTAATCAATTCAAAATCAAAATTGTATAACATTTTACAATCTAACTTTGAAACTGAAAAATCAAATATTTTGAAATATTGGAATTTTAAGGATATCTGAAGCATTAAGCAAATCGTTAATCAAAATTTATCCGTTAATGATGGCATCGTACAATTTTGTCAAACAAATCTTATTTAAATGTTGAAAGCAATATAGTCCTGAATTTGTATTTTATGAATCCCTGTTGAATTTTTATCCTAGATATCGAAATTTTTGCGAAAAGAATCAAAATTGTTGGTATGTATAATAATTTTTCAATTCTTCAGTTTTCGATTTCTCGATTTTTCAACTTTTGATTTCTCAATTTTTCGATATTTCAGTTTTGGCGTTTTTCAGATCCTTAATTTTGGGTTTTTCAATTTATCGATTTTCATTTTTTCGATTACTCAATTTTTCGATGTTGAGTATTGCGATTTTAAAATTTTTCGATTTTGCCATTTCTCGATTCTTTAAATTTTCGATTTTTCAATTATGTAGTTTCTAAATTTTCGATTTTTTAATTTTTATATTATTCACTTTCTCATTTACTAATCGATTTTTTGATTTTTCGACTTTTTGAGTTCTCAATGTTTAGATTTCTCGACTTCTCGATTTTTCGACCTTTCAGTTTTTCAATTCCCCAAGTTTTCGATTTTTAGATTTTTCAAGTTTTAATTTTTCAATTTTGCGATGTTTCACTTTTGAGATTTTTAAATTTTTCTATTGTCCTATTTTTCAATTTTTCAAAATTTCTTTTTTGGGATTTTTCAATATTTCAATTCTGCGATTTTTCGATTCTACGATTTTTTACAATTTCTTTTTTTCACTTTGTCGATTTTTAAATTTAAAATATTTCAATTCTTCAATTTTTCGATATTTTAATTTTTCAATTTATAAAATTTTGGATTTTCAAATTTCTAGATTTTTATTTCTTCAATATTTCTATTTTTCAGGTATTACATTTTTAAATTTTTCGATTTTACAATTTTTCAATTTTTGAAGTTACAAAATTTTCGATTTTTCAATTTCTCGATTTCTCAATTTCTGAAATAATCGATTTTTTGATTTTTTGACTTTTCGATTTTTTGATTTTTTCATTTCCCGATTCTTCAACTTTTCACTGTTAAGATTTCTCGAGTTCACGATTTTTAAACTTTTCAGTTTTTCAATTCTCAAATTTTTGGATTTTTCGATTTTTAAGGTTTTTAATTTTTCAATTTTCCGATAATTCAGTTTTAAGATTTTTCAGTTTTTCTATTGTTCGATTTTTCTTCTATTTTTCAATTTTCAATATTTCAGTTTTAGGAATTTTCAATGTGTATTTCAGTTCTTCCATTTTTGGATTTTTCTATTTTGTTTTCTCAGTTTTTCGATTTTTAAAATTAAAATGTTTTAATTATTCAATTTTTCAAATTTTATAATTTTAGATTTTCCGATTTCTAGATTTTTGATTTCTTTCATATTTCTATACCTCAATTAATCGATTTTATTTTCTACTTTTTGTCTTCTCGATTTTTCGACGTTTCGACTTTTACGATTTTTTCATTTTTTCATTTCTCCATTTCTAAACTTTTCAATGATTAGATTTGTCAACTTCTCGATTTTTCGACCTCTCAGTTTTCAATTTCTCTATTGTTCGATTTTTCAGGTTTTTAATTCTTCATTTTTTTTGTTCTCCTAGTTTTTTTATACTTCATTTTTCAGTTTCTAAAATTTTGGATTTTCAAATTTCTACAATTTTTAAATATTTCGATTTTTCAATTTTTCAATTTTTGAAGCTACTAAATTATCGATTTTTCAATTCTTCGATTTTTAAGGTTTTTCTATTGCTCAATTTTCCTTCAATTTTTCAATATTTCAGTTTTAGGATTTTTCAATATTTCTATATTTTTGATTTTTCAATTTTTTTATTTCCCAATTTCTCATTTTTTTATTTTTATATTTAATCCTAACATCCCAAAATACATTTTAAGGATGCCTTAAAAGAATTTGCAAATTAAAAAATAATAATATTTTAATTGTTCAATTTTTAGATATTTTAATTTTTCAAATTTTAAAATTTTATATTTTCCGATTTCTAGATTTCATTTCTTCGATATTTCCATTTTTCAATTTTTAGATTTTTAAAATTTTAGATTTTTCAATTTTTCGATTTCTCAATTTCTCAGTTAATCAATTTTTTATTTTTCTACTTTTCGACTTCTCGATTTTCGACGTTTCAACTTCTCGATTTTTTTATTTTCTCATTTCTCGATTTCTCGACTTGCCAGTCTTCAAATGTCTCCACTCCTCGAAGTTTCGACTTTTCAGCTTTTAAATTCTTTAATTTTTCGGTTTTTCAATTTTTCGATTTTTTAAATTTTCTATTTTTCGACTTTCCGACTTTCCATTTCTGAATTTTTCAATCTTCTGATGTTTCAATTTTGGGATTTTTCACTTTCTCGATTTTTCAATTTTTCTTGGATTTTTCAATTTTTCGAAAATTTCAGTTTAGGTATTTTTTAATATTTCGATTCCTCAGCTTTTCGTTTTTTCGATTCCCAAATTTTTTGTAATTTGTTTTTTCAATTTTTCGATTTTTGATTTTAAAATTTTTCAATCCTTCAATTTTTCGATATTTTAATTATTATATTTTATTATATAAATTTTAGATTTTTCGATTTTTTTGATGTTTCGATTTCGGGATTTTTCAATTTTTCATTTCTTCAGTTTTTCGAATTGCAATTTTTCCCTCCTTTTTTTATTTTCTTAATTTTTCAAATTTTTGGATCAAAAATTTTTCGATTTGCGGTCTGCCGGTCTTCAATTTTTCGATTTTTAGATTGTTCATTTTTTTAATTTTAGATTTTTCATTTTCTGGATTTTTTAATTTTTCGTTTCTCAGTTTTTGATTTACAATTTTTCTATTTTTTATTTTAAAAATGAAACAAAAATAATATTTTTTTAAATATGTATTTCACTTTTTCAATTTTACGATTTTAAAATGTTTCCATTTTTCAATTACTGGATTTTAAAACTTTTTCATTTATTCAATTTTTCCATTTTTGCATTTTTAACTTTTAAATTTCTCGATATTTAATTTTTCAATTTTTCGATGTTTCAATGTGACAGTTTTTCAACTTTACAGTTCTGATGATTCTAAGATTTTTCGATTGTACAATTTTTGAGTTTTCCAATTTTTCGGTTCAGTTCGTTTTTTCTTCTTTCCAATTTTCCATTCATTCATTAATTTTTTCGATTTTTGAGTTTTAAGATTTTTGGTTTTTCAGTGTTTCAATTGTTCGTTTTTTCAGTTTTTCTATTTTTTCAATTTTTCCGATGTTTTAGTTTTTAGAAAAATTGCAAAATTGTAAATTTGAAAAATGAAAAAACGAAAAACTATAAAATGAAAACTTTGATAAATCTAAAAATTGGGAACCAAGAACTTGAACAATTGAAGAAACAAAAAATTCAAAAATCGAAAGATTAAGAATCGAAAAAACATAATACGTTTTGTAAAATCGAAATATTGAAAATTAAAGAAATCGGAAAATCGCATAACCGGAAGTCCAAAACTGAGTAAACGAAAAATTATAAATCAGAAGAAAAAAATCGAAAAAATTCTTATATAAATCGAGACAATGAAAATTAAAAATAGGGAAAATGAAAAATAAATATTAAGAACTTGAGAAATTAAGGAATCGAAAAATTATGAAACTGAAACATTGAAAAATGGAAAAGTAGTTTCGAAGATTAAGTGTCTAATAAAAATTGATACAAACGACAGACAGACGGCAACGGGGGACCACTTTTTTCGTACTCTAGAAGTCATGAAACGTCGAGAAAACATAAAGTGGCTAAGTCGCCCGATAAACTCGATTCCTATACCCCCTTAGCTTACGCCCAGAAAATAAAAAGCGATAAATCTATGTTCCAAAAAACAAAAGCGATAAATCTATGTTCCAAAAAACAGAACGTACCCAAATGTGGCTTTTCAAAGAGCAATGGTGGGTTTCCGAACCCGGACCTGTACAACAAACACTTATCCAACAGTTCTATCAAAAAGTCTATAGGATTTTCCGACAATTCGCTCACCATATGAGCTATCAAAAATCGAAAAAAGTCGAAAATTCTGTGTTCTTTCAAATATTTCCTTGCATTTCTCATAGCTAGAGTAAATCTGGGATCAATTTCTTCTTCAAATTCACCCTCTACGGATTTGGCCTCCTCCGAAACCTAAAAAATTATAACAAATTTTTCACGAAACACTTAATAATATGATCTTAATTATTAGATACAAAAATATATTAATTATTGATTTCACATACTATTGTTGGTTCAACATACTCCTCCGGTTCTTGCTCCAGCGCCATCAGATACTGCAACGACGGCGACGGACTCCCCAACATCGACGCATCCATGGCAAAAGTCGCAGGACTTAAAGTACTCAAAATCCTCCGGGTGCCAGAACTAGGCAAAGACTCGCACTCATAAGCTTCGCCTCTATCGTGCTGCGCCAAAAGCATTTGTCGCCGTTGCTCGTCATCCAGAAGAGCCCTCTGAAGAGAATCCCAATTTCTCAGTCCGAAGCCAGTAACTAACATCGATGGAACCGGAGGTATTTTTAGCGATGAAGAGGACGTAGTTGTGGAGGGCACAGAAACCGTGCTTTCTACAAAAAAAAAGAGTTAGCAGAGCGTGGTTTCGATCCACGGACCTCTGGGTTATGGGCCCAGCACGCTTCCACTGCGCCACTCTGCTTGCTGAGTCGAGGGGAAGGAAGGGGTGACATTCACTAAGCTAAGTTTCAAGCTATTGGAAAGTCGAGGTCTTACGGCTGGGGATTTGTTCCGTGAAGTACTTGTAGACGTCTCCGTACGTGGAACAAGGGTCGTACATTCGGGGACTTCCGTATTCCGACATTTTTGTAGTTTTTTAGAAGTACAAATGTATAAAATAAAAAAATGTCTCAACTGTCACGAGTTCGTTGCTTAGATATCCAGAATACGAAATCACGATAAAATATTGGTCGAACCGTCGTCTTCGTTGATTCACTATTAAAGTCTCTCCAATCCATTAAATGTGACATGTGAGGGCGCATACGTCGGTAGGGAAAGGAATCTGTAATGTCGGCTAAATGCTGTCGTGGTCTGACTTTTTGACACAATTTGACATCATGTATTTCAGTTTTTACTTGAAAAAGAGGCAAAATTTCGGTACCGGCACCAAAGTCACAACGCCATGGGCGTGGATGGTCTGCAAAGGGATATGCAGTAGGAAAGTTTTTCTTTGAGGTGTTTACATTGTTATCGGAATGTGTCTCAGGAATTATGAAGCTGCATTCTGGATCACGTTTAGTACTTGCTGGGGAGCTTGAAGAAGTAGGAACAGGTAGTGGTGACTTGGAACCATGGAGGAACAAAGTAGGAACAGAGCCGGGTTTAAGTCTTTTATTTGCATAATAACAACTTCTCTCAAAGTGTTTACCACAAATGTATAAATTATTTGCAATATTATCACCTGAAATGGTTTTAATGGCTATACATTCCCTTAGGTAAAAGACTCATGTGGGGGTACCTACTTGTAGCATTAAAAACCTTTTTGCACCACAACCTTTTGTTCACAGTGTTTGAAGGGAATCTGTGCATTATTTTGTGGTCTCTAGGATCCTTGATTACCCCACAAGCAGGCACAGAGCAATATTTTTTGGACATTTTGATAATATCAATTCAAGCACAAACTGTTTTGGCGCGTAACAAAACGGATTAATTACAGATTCCTGTAACTCCCGAAGGGAGTGACATCTTTTGATATTTTCCTTTTTGACAAGTCGGACGATTGTAATCAATTGGAGAGACTTTAATAGTGAATCAACGAAGACGACGGGTCGAACGTTGTTTCGACAGAACTTCCCTCGCTCCTGAAGTACAATGGAACATATCTAGTTTCGAGTTGAGATTTTTCTTTACACAATTTTGTGATGACGTCAACATTTTTGGAAGGACTGATTCTATAATTTTTTTGAGTCATTCTGAATAAGTAAATCTGAAAACATTAATGTAGTGATAAATTACTGATCATATTTTGCACATTTTAGCTAGAATTTATTCGGCAAAATGTTCAGATGGCGTTATCAATTTTTCAGAGTTGATAAAAAAAGTTGTCTAAAAATCCTCCAAAGATTCTAGAATATAGGTCTCCACGTGCTGATTTCAAAAATGTAGCTAAAATCAAATTTTTAAAAATTCCAAAAATTGGAATTCTTCAGAGGGTGATTCTGGAAAAACGGTTGGAGTTATAGAAGAAACGGGCTCGGAAGTGACTTCTGCGGCTCGAAATCTACAAGCAAATGTATTTAATTAAGTTTCGAAAATGGTGAAAAATGGGTCGAAATTTGAAGAATGGAAAAATTTTATTTTTAAAGAAGTTGTCTAAAAATTCTCAAAAAATGTAGGGATGGAGATCTCGACGTGCTGATTCCAAAAGTATAGGGTTTTTATGTTCATCGCGCAACATTTTAAAACTGTTCGTGTTTAGAGTCAAATTTTTTTAAATTTCCAAAAATTTCGATATTTCGACAACCGATTCTGAAAAAGCTGTTGGAGTGACTGCAGAAACGAGGTCGGAAATAAGTTCTAGAGCTCAAAATCTGCAGGAAAATGCATTTTGATAAGTTTCGAAAATGGAGAAGAATTAATCGAAATTTGAAGAAATTTCACTTTTGAAAAAATTGTCTAATAATCCTCAAAAATTCTGGAATATAGGTCTCGCCGCGTTGATTCCAAAAATGTAACAAAGAATTAATGGTCTCGGAGCAATATTTTCGAAATATTCGGGTTTAAAATCAATTTTTTTTTAAATTCCAAAAATTGCAATTCTTCAATGGGTGGTTTTTTGCAGGTGTTGGAATAATTTCACTTTTGAAAAAGTTGTCTCAAAATCCACACAAAATTCTGGAATATAGATCTCCACGTGCTGATCACAAAAATGTAGCATGTTTATGGCCACGGAGCAATGTTTTAGAAATATTCGGTTTTCAAATCAAATTTTTTTAAATTTCCAAAAATTGTAATGTTTCACTGATAATTCTGGAAAAAACGGTTGGAGTTATCAAAGTAACGAAATCGGAAGTGAGTTCTACAGCTCGAAATCCACAAGAAAATCTATTTAGTTAAGTTTCGAAAATGGCGAAATATGGATCGAAATTTGAAGAATGGATAAATTTTACTTTCTAAGTTGTCTAAAAATTCTCAAAAAATTTTGGGATGCAGATCTCGTCGTGCTGATTCCAAAAATATAGCGTGTTATGTTCATCGCACAACGTTTTCAAACTGTGCGGGTTTAAAATCTTTTTTTTTTTTAATTCCAAAAATTTCGATATTTCAACCCCCGATTGGGGAAAAAGTCAAAAGTGAGTTGTACCAGAAAATGTATTTAGTTAAATTTCGAAAATGGTCAAAAATGGGTCGAAATTTGAAGAAGGAACAATTTCATTTTTAAAAAAGTTGTCTAAAAATTCTCAAAAAATTTGGGGCTGTAGATCTGGGCGTGCTGATTCCAAAAATATAGCGTGTTGTGTTCATCGCAACATTTTCAAACTGTTCGTGTTTAGAGTCAATTTTTTTTAAATTTCCAAAAATTTCGATATTTCGGCAGCCGATCTGAAAAAGCTGTTGAAACGACTACAGAAATGAGGTCGGAAGTAAGTTCTAGAGCTAGAAATTTGCAGGAAAATGTATTTTGATAAGTTTCGAAAATGGAGAAGAATTAATCGAAATTTGAAGAAATTTCATTTTTGAAAAAATTATCTAATAATCCTCAAAAAATTCTGGAATATAGGTCTCGCCGCGTTGATTCCAAAAATGTAGCAAAAAATTAATGGTCTCGGAGCAATATTTTCGAAATATTCGGTTTTAAAGTCAAATTTTTTTAAAATTCCAAAAATTGCAATTCTTCAATGGATGATTTTTTTGCAGGTGTTGGAATAATTTCACTTTTGAAAAAGTTGTCTCAAAATCCACAAAAAATTCTGGAATATAGATCTCCACGTGCTGATCACAAAAATGTAGCATGTATATGGCCACGCAAATATTCGGTTTTCAAATCAAATTTTTTAAAATTTCCAAAAATTGCAATGTTTCACTGGATAATGCTGGAAAAAACGGTTGTAGTTATCAAAGTAACGGAGTCGGAAGTGAGTTCTACAGCTCGAAATCCACAAGAAAATCTATTTAGTTAAGTTTCGAAACTGGCGAAATATGGATCGAAATTTGAAGAATGGAAAAATTTTATTTTTGAAGAAGCTGTCTAAAAATTCTCAAAAAATTTTGGGATGTAGATCTCGGGGTGCTGATTAAAAAAATATAGCGTGTTATGTTCATCGTGCAATATTTTCAAACTGTGCAATCAATTTTTTTTTTTTTTAATTCCAAAAATTTCGATATTTCAACCCCCGATTGGGGAAAAAGTCAAAAGTGAGTTGTACAAGAAAATGTATTTAGTTAAATTTCTAAAATGGTCAAAAATGGGTCGAAATTTGAAGAAGGAAAAATCCCATTTTTAAAAAAGTTGTCTAAAAATTCTCAAAAAATTTGGAGATGTAGATCTCGGCGTGCTGATTCCAAAAATATACCGTGTTTATGTTCATCGGGCAACATTTTCAAACTGTTCGTCTTTAGAGTCAAATTTTTTAAATTTTCAAAAATTTCGATATTTGGACTCCCGATCGGGAAAAGCTGTTGGAATGACTATAGAAACGAGATCGAAAGGAAGTTCTAGAGCTCGAAATCTGCAGGAAAATGTATTTTGATAAGTTTCAAAAATGGAGAAGAATTAATCGAAATTTGAAGAATGGAAAAATGTAATTTTTAAAGAAGTTGCCTAAAAATTCTCAAAAATTTTGGGATGTAGATCTCGGCGTGCTGATTCGAAAAATGTAGCGTGTTATGTTCATCACGCAATATTTTCAAACTGTGCGGGTTTAAAATAATTTTTTTTTAATTCCAAAAATTTCGATATTTCGACACCCGATGGGGAAAAAGTCAAAAGTGAGTTGTACAGCTCAAAATCTACCAGAAAATGTATTTAGTTAAATTTCGAAAATAGTCAAAAATGGGTCGAAATTTGAAGAAGGAAAAATTTCATTTCTAAAAGTTATCTAAAAATTCTCAAAAAATTCAGAAATGTAGATCTCAACGTGCTGATTCCAGAAATATAGCGTGCTTAACATTTTAACATTTTCAAACTGTTCGGGTTTAAAATCAAATTTTTAAAAAATTCCAAAAATTTCGAAATTTCAGCGGCCGGTTCTGAAAAAACGGTTGAAGTGATTCAAGAAACGATATCGAAAGTGACTTCTAGAACTTGAAATGTACAAGGAAATGTATGTAGTTATGTTTCGAAAATGGTGAAAAATGGGTCGAAATTTGAAAAAGGGGGAACCATTGGAAAAATTTGTCTCAAAATTCTCAAAAAAATCAGAAATGTAGTTCCCGACGTGCTAATTCCAAAAATGTAGCTTGTTTATATTCGCGCAACATTTTCAAAATGTTAGGCTTTAAGTCAATTTCTTTTTTAAATTCCAAGAATTTCGATATTTCATCGACCAATCGTTGAAATTCTCAAAGAAACGAGGTCGGAAGTAAGTTCTTGAGCTCGAAATCCACAAAAAATGTATTTAGTTAAGTTTCGAAAATGTCAAAAATAGGCCGAAATTTGAACCATTGGAAAAATTTCACTTTGACAAAAATCGGTACGAAATGCGAATTTTTGAAATTTTCTAAAAATTTCGACATTTCAAAGGACGATACTGGAGAACCTATTGGAGTCATCAAAGAAACGAGGCCGGAAGTCAGTTCTAGAGCTCGAAATCTACAAGAAAATGTGTTTAGTTAAGTTTCGAAAATGTCAAAAATTGGCCGAAATTTGAAGAAGGGGGGACCACTGGAAAAATTTCAGTTTTATAAAAGTTGTCTA